CTTCAACGGCTTTCGGATGTCCTCGAGGGCTTTGGCGGGCCCCATGCCCGCCTATACCTCCCCTGGTACATCTGTCACTCCTGCCCGATACCGCTGAAGGACGACGTGGCCATGCCCTTGGGCCTGAAGAGCAAGAAAACCAAGAAGCAGGCTTCCAATCGGGGGCGCAGCAGCGTCAAGGGAAGGGGGCATGAAAAGTGGAGACGTCGGAAGGAAGAGGAGAGGAACGGAGAGTAGGAGGAGGAGGTGGAGGAAGAGGAGGAGGAGGAAGAGGAGGAGGAGGTTTAGAAAGAGGAGGAGGGAGAGGGAGGAGGAGGAGGAGGAGGAGGAGGAGGAGGAGGAGGAGGAGGAGGAGGAGGAAGAGGAGGAGGAGGAGGGGGGATGCTTGGCCGATGAGCAGAATAACGACACGGAGAGAGGGGGAAAGAGATTTCGATGAGGAGCGTCAGGGGAATGCGCGATGATGGAGGGGGAAGAGTGGCAAGGATTATTTGGTCCACCTTCCCCCTAGCTCAGCATAACCATCCTCCTCGTCATCACCATTATTTGTTCTCGCCTCTCGATTCCTCCGCCTGGATAGGAGAGGCGAGGGGATGCCTCAAATATGGTTTCCCGCGGCATGCTTGCGAAAGGAACAATGGCGGCCATAGGCAGCAGCCCGCATCAGCCTTCCCTTAATCTTCTCCCGTGAAGGCGCGAGGGCAGGAGTGTTGTCGCAGTCCTCTCTTCGGTCTCGCCGGCATCCTCCCTGGAGGAGAGGCGGGTGCAGGAGCTGCGAACTTGCTTTGCGACTCGCACCCTTCTGGTTGCGAGTTGGGTGGGCGTGGGGTTCCAAGAGGTCCCAGGCGGCCCCCAGCGCAAGGGGGAGGAGGGGATACCCGGGTTAGTGGGCAGAGCGGGGCGGTGTCTTTGTCCTCTTCTCGTCCCCCCACATTTTGTTTGTGTTCTGCAGACTTGCCAGCAGGATGCTGCAGCAAAGACCTTTTTGGGGCTCAGGGCGTGATCTGGTTTTCGGGCCGCTCCTTGGAGCCAGGTCGGGGAACCCATGCGTGGCCGGGTCGCGCCGTGGCCAGAGCAGCTCCATCGCACCTTCGTCGGCGTCCCTCGTGGAAGCTCGATGGCTGCCCCCCCGTAAGTCGGCGGCGAGCCTTCTCCGAAGGCCCGCCCCTTACTCTCCCACGTCCTCCTCCCTCCTCCTCCTTCTCCTTCCTTCTTTCCTCCTCCTCCTCCTCCTCCTCCTCCTCCCTCCTCCTCCTCCCCCTCCTCCCCCTCCTCCCTCCTCCTCCTCCTCCTCCTCCTCCTCCTACTCCTCCTCCCTCCTCCTCCTCCCCCCTCCTCCTCCTCCCTCCTCCTCCTCTCCTCCTCCCTCCTCCTCCTCTCCTCTCCTCCTCCTCCTCCTCCTCCTCCTCCTCCTCCTCCTCCTCCTCCTCCTCCTCCATCCTCCTCCTCCTCCTCCTCCTCCGCCTCCTTCTCCTCCCTCCTCCTCCCCTCCTTCACCCTCCTCATCCTCCTCCCTCCTCCTCCTCCCTCCTCCTCCTCCTCCTCCTCCTCCTCCTCCTCCTTCTCCTCCTCCTCCACCAACGCAGCCCTCCCTGGCGAGGCAACTGCGGTCGATGCCGCCAAGCTCAACGAGTCCATCGCCGACTTCACGCCGAGCGTGTCCAAGTACCTGGGCGGGGACGCCCGGACCCAAGGAGAGCGGCCGAGCGCGCCTGCCCGCGGCATGCTCCGACGAGGGCGCCGTTGGCAACCTGGCAGTCTTCTCGAAGGGCTCTTTGAGACCCTGCCTGCGATGAGGCGTTGGCATTCGTTGCCGCTGCGATGCTAGGTGCGCGTGGAGGTGCTCCAAGGATTGGACGGGTCCCCGAAACCACGGAAGCGCAGTATCATGTCGATGCTCAGGATGGGCAGTCGGTGCTTCGCGAAGCCGACACTTCATTATCCTCATCATGGATATCATCATCACCATCCGCATCATCATCATCATCATCATCATCATCATCATCATCATCATCATCATCATCATCATCATCATCATCATCATCATCATCATGATCATCATCATCATCATCATCACCATCATCATCATCACCACCACCATTATCATCATACTCAGCATCATCATCGTCGTCACCATCAAGAGCTGCATCAATCTTAACATCGTAAGCATCATGAGCAACATCCTCATCAGCAGCATCATCATCACCATCATCAGCATCATCATCATCATCATCATCATTCGCATCACCATCATCTTCATTATCATCATGATCATCATCGTCATTATCATCAGCACCAGCATCATCCTTATCATCATCGTCGTCGTCGTCAGTCCAGTGCCTAGTACGCCTTTGGGAGGCGCGATCGTCATCGTCGTCGTCATCGTGACCATAAGGATGTTTGTGGTACGACCTCCCTTCAGGCGATACGACACGGAGGGCGAGGATGTTGACAGAGGAGGAGGATGAAGATGAGGCCGAGAAGGAGAAGCATACTTATTGAGGCAGATTGGAGGCCAATCCCGTGCTTCTTCATACGAGCTCCCCCTTCCCTGCGAACGCCACGACCACCTCGCGCAGCGGCCTCGCCGAGGTCCTCCGAGCGAGGGGCCCGCTCGCTGGCGGCAGCGTGCCCCCCGCATGGCATCATCATGGGCATCGCCAGGGCCGCCTCCTGGGCTCCAGCACGTGTGGGATGCTATCGGGGACTAAGACAGGACATTCAGAGCCCCGAATCATGAGGGGTAACTCGGGTCTGGGCCAACTCGGCTCTGTTACTCGGGAATCCGAACCCGAGTCACCCCGGGCCCGAGCTATTCCGGATAACTCGGTCGTCCAGAGCCCCGAATCATGAGGGGTAACTCGGGTCCGGGCCAGCTCGGGTCTGTTACTCGGGAATCCGAACCCGAGTCACCCTTGACCCCGAGTTACCCCGGATAGCTCGGGAGTCCAGAGCCCCGAATCATGAGGGGTAGCTCGGGAACGGGCCAACTCGGCTCTTTTACTCGGGAATCCGAACCCGAGTCACCCTGGACCCCGAGTTACCCCGGATAGCTCGGGCGTCCAGAGCCCCGAATCATGAGGGGTAGCTCTCGGGTCCGGGCCAACTCGGCTCTTCTACTCGGGAATCCGAACCCGAGTCACCCTGGACCCCGAGTTACCCCGGATAGCTCGGGCGTCCAGAGCCCCGAATCATGACGGGTAGCTCTCGGGTCAGGGCCAACTCGGGTCTGTTACTCGGGAATCCGAGCCCGAGTCACCCCGGGCCCGAGTTACCCCGGATAACTCGGGCACCCAAGGACATAAACGCAACTTTTCCGAGGTCCGCGCGAGCTTCTCGCACCGGAGCTGGAGCCCCTGGTTGCCGCCTCCGGCGCCGCCCCCCCGGCGCGCTCCTCCCGCCAGGGAGGGGGGCCCAGCGCCGATCCACAAAGTCCGCGCTGCGGACCGCCCCTGGCGTGCTCCGCCCGCCAGGGAGGGGGAAGTCCGCGCGGTCCTTCGTGTGCCGAGCGACGGTCGCTGCAAGCCATTATTTTCTTGGACTCCCAGCGTCCAGTCTGCCCTGGGCGCCTTCCCACTTCAGTGATCGAGGGGCCTACCCTCTTCCCTGCCCCTCCTGAGGAGGACGGACTCCCCAGTCTGCTCTCAACGCCTTCCTGCTCCCTGTTGCTACCTGCTTCTTCCGACCGAACGTTTATGCTTCTGGTACTTGTTGCACTGGAGGAGGAGTAGGAGGAGGAAGAGGAGGAGGAGGAGGAGGAGGAGGAGGAGGAAAAGAGGCGGATATGATGAGGAAACGGAGCTCCTCCTCCTCCTCCTCCTCCTCCTCCTCCTCCTCCTCCTCCTCCTCCTCCTCCTCCTCCTCTATGTTAAGGCGTGCTGGAGGCCGCGCTCCGGGCACCGAGGCCGGCCAGGCCCGCAGAGCCCTGCAGGGGGCCCTGACCGGAGGTGCCCCCCGCTCTCGCCCCTCCGGGAGCCGCCGCCGCCGAGGTCTCCTCCCCGTGCGCATGCTCGTGCCTCACGCCGGCCATGTGCGGCGGGGGCATTGGATAATCGAAGAATTAAACATCATAAATATAAACTACATAAGCTTCTGGCGCCGCGCGGATTTCTTGGATCCGCGCCTGGGCCCCCCCGGCGGCGCCTCCGGCGCTACCCCTGGCGTGCTGCGCTCGCCAGGGAGGGGGTCCAGCGCGAATCCAAGAAATCCGCGCGGAGCGCCAAAAGTTTATGTTCATGTGGTTTTCTCATTTTTTTAGATAAGGAAAGTCTTCCTGGGGCCCAGATTCTGGCGCATTCCTTATTCTTTTGAGGCGAGGTGAGTCGCCCACGTTTTGCCGCCCATCGGTCGCGAGCCCCTGGGCTCCTTATCGAAGGCATCCTTATCCAAAGCCTCCACCGGACGCGTTCGCCCCAATCCTGTTGCTCTCCTGCGGGCGTGGAAGGGGCGTGACGAAGCGGCTAGATGAACGCGTCACAGTGCCCTCCGTGGTGGGCCCATGGAGGTGGACAATTAACGGGCGAAGAACGGTATAAAGTAAACTTTTTCGCCGTCGGGGGCGCCTGCCCCTGGTCGGCTGGAAAGTTTATACCCTCACGGTGGCACCGTAGGGGTATAAACTTTCCAGCCGCCCAGGGGCAGGCGCCCCCGACGGCGGAAAGTTTACTTCATACCGTTCTTCGCTCGCTGAGACAAGAACCCCCCCCCCCTCGCTGGCGGCAGCGTGCCCAGGTTTTGTGGCTCACCAGCCGGGGGGCGGGGGCTTGGCGAGGCGGCCAGCTGAAGGGTTCGCAGTGCCGTGTCTTCCAAAGCCGCAGGTTCGCGCGAGGGTTTGCTCAGTCCGGGGCCTCGGTGCCCACCCTCGGATGGCCTCGGGCTTCCTTTTTGATCCTGCTCCCTTCGCAGGCAGATCGTCTGAAGTGCAATAGGCTGTTAATCGACTTTGAGGCAACGTTGGCACTTCGCATGGGTGACCGCGACGAGTAATTAGCCTTGCCGCGAGGACCTGAGGCGACGCTGCGAGCATCCCCGTCCCCGAAGGGTACAATGGGCTCCAGCATGCGATCCCTGCAGGCGACGGCGGGGAGGCATTGTTTCCGAATATGTCTTTCACATACCTCGAATAATACATGCAATGTGCGAGCGTTGATCGCACATTGTGTTTTTTGTTTCTGGAAGTGTATCTTGTACGACCTATGTAGTGCAGTCCATGTTTTGCAATATACGTGGTGCAACCTATGTGGGCTAGTCGATCGGCAGTGTAATATTCGTTGTGCAATCCAGGATATGCAATCTATGCGGTTCTAGATATGTCGTGCAAGCCACGGGGTGCAGTCCAAGTGGTGCAACATACGTGGTTCAATATATGTTGGGATAACTTGTGCAGTTCATCCTGCCGACGTTTAAGTCTTCAACTCCACTGCTCGCGCAATCACCTCACCCACCCACCCGCATTTTGGTTTGCCAAACCCATGCGGCGGCGATCGCGATGCCTACCAGTCTGGCCGCGGTGGCGCTGACCGTTCGGGACTTCCCAGCGCGTCTCGCAGGCCGCGCTCACGCGCACTTCAGCGCGAGTCGGTGATTCGGGCGGGCGCGGTATCATGGCGACGCGATGTTGATAGTAGCGATGTTGGCGACGACGGCGATGACGATGTAAAGGCCAACGACGGCGCCGATACTGATCACGCCGATGACAGCGATGGTGCGCACGCGTCGGTGACGCAGGTTGGGGAACGATTTGGACGTGCGCGCGCGGCCGACGGGCGCGAGGAGCGGCCCGTGTGGTATAATTTTGACGAGGGACGTGCCTCCACCCCCCAGCGCGAAAGGGTTGTGGGAATGATTCCGGCATGAGCGCGCGAGAGGCCAGCTTGGCCGCATTTGAACCAAATGTTGAAACGCCAACGTGATTTCCCTAAGATATCATGAGAGCGATCGCGCTCACTGCAAGTCCGCTGTCTTATGTCCAGTTGTTGGGGCACTCGATTTCGAATCCCGCACGGAGCCCAAGGTTTTCAAACGAGTCCAGCATGCGCGCGCGACGACGCGCGCGTGTGGATGTTTCTTAGTTTATTGAAACGGCTTCTTGTACATTAATAAGTTGTGATACGCGTGTGCGAGCACATCGTATCATTTGAGAGGATAGGGGGGGGGCTCGGTGACGGCGTGGCTGGGATATTATGACGAGGATGCGGGGAGGGGGTTGATTCCAGTGTGGCGGGGATGGACGATGAGGCAGAATCGTGTAAGTTGTACTATCACAGGGAGGGGGGATAATCTTGGGGGGGTAGATCTTAATTCGGCTTTGGAATGAGAATCCACGTCGTGCAGACTAGGGCGGCGAGGGGGCTGCGACGGCGACAACATAGCCGCCAGACCGCTGCACCGGCCCAGACGACGTGCAGCGACGAAATGCGACGGTGCGGCAACGGCAACAACAGAGCAACCTGACCGTCACAGGCCCAGACGACGGGCAACGACGAGGCGGCGATGGGACGGCGACGGCGGCCACATAGCCGCCAGACCGACATACCAGCCCAACTCCACAGGACAGAAGTAAGAACCTCTACGTGCAAGCTTTGTTTGGGGAGTAGTTAAACGTACACTTTCAAGCGGTGCATGTGTGTTCTCCCAAATCAGTCCCCGACCTCCGCGGGAATAATCCGCTTCGGAAAACAGAAATGCTGCGTAGGAGCAGAGCTTGACCGCTCTGGGCCTCGTCCTCCCCATCTGCGGGAGTCGGCAGAGGGCCCACAGAAGCTCCGAGGAAGCACATCCGCCGCGCCCGCGCTCTTCGAATGAGGGGAGGTTTGAGAGAGTGTCTTTCTCTTGTCTCTCCCAAATGTCCCTCCTTGTCCCCCAAACAGCCCCAGTTACCTTCCCTCTTACCTCAGCTGTTCCCCCATTCTCCCCTTCTTCCTTTTCCAACGCAGTCTTGACATGTCTTCTGCCTCTCTCGAGATGAGGGTCTCTCCATATGACAGCCTTGCGTCGGCCTCTTCGCAGCGTTTTGCGCTGGTTGTTTTCACTTGTCTGCTTTTCCAGGGTGCTGTCCAGTGGGACCTGTGAGCAGGGAGCCCCCCTCCAATACCCCAATTACCCTCGTCCCACTTTCTCCCCACGGCTCACCCAGTTCGGTTTTCCAGGGATGCGCTCCTCCCAGGTTCCCCATTGTAGTGGTCCCATTTGAAAACGTCTGCATGTGTTTGGTTCGGTTTGCGTCCATCTCCAGTTCTATCGGCTCAACCGTGCCGTAGATTGTGTTGATGTCTTGATGGCTTGGTACTTACCAGGCGTCTGTATCGGTGTTATCATGCATTCAGCGTGTATCCAGCTTGGGTGTTAGTTGTTTGGGTACCATAGCTGCGAGTAGCCGTTGGCTTGCCTGTGGTTTGCCGTTGGCTTGCCCTCAGCTTGCGTGTTGACTCTCGCTCAGGTCGGGTATCCCTTGTCTTCAGCGTGCCTCCAGGCGTTTCATAGGGGCTTGTCAGATTCTGGCCTTTTCACCGCCTTTCTCTTTTCCTTGATGGTTAAGTCGGGCATGTCCTTCTAAAGGGGGAATACCCCAAAAATAGTCAACACATAAAGTCTGGTGACGATGTTTTATTGTTTGGGTCAAGTTTTGCACATTGTTGGAGTAGTTTTAATTTGTCGTCGAACATCGGCCTGTAGGGGGACATTCCCGACTTAGCTTTAGGGCTTGTGTGCGACTCAGCCTTTCCAGAGAAGATCGCGCCCTTTCCTGGTTTTGGCCGCGCTGGGCTCTCGATCTTCGTGTTCTGCATCTTTCAGACCTTACTATTGTGCTCGCGCCGCCTCCGCGTGGCACCTGCTGATGTCGATTCCTTACTCGGGAACACCATCATCGGCACCCGCCTGCTTGCAACAAACTCCTGCCATGGCGCCAACATCGCAGAGCGGATTTCGTTTGGAAAACGATAGGATGGGCCTGGAATGTCCTGTAGAATTTCGTTCAGGATTTCGAGGTGAATTTCGTGCGGATTCGTTTGGCCAGGAATGAACACAACACAACAATCCACGCGAAATTCATGTCCTTTGTCACTCGCCATTTCGGGGTGTTGCGTTGGCAGATGTCCACGCAAAAATCCGCTGCAGCCTCGTGCAAGGTCGGTGCAGTAACACCTATCACCTGACGGTGGACAAACGGTCGCTCCTGTGGCGCAGGGAAGCAGCAACATATTTGGCTACATCTCAACGCGCGCTCCAGACGCAATCACCCAACACAATCAATGCGCCACCTGGACTTTGCGTGTGGTGGTTGCGTAATGGTCTTCTGCGTACGTGGTTGCCAAAACTCTCATTCGCATTGCCCCTGCCCCGATTTTGATTTGCCCACTGGGAGGCAAATCTTAGGATCTTAGGAGGTAGAATTCAGCATTGGCGCTGGTAAGCACTTTTGGACGACAAGGGGCATATTCAGGCGCAGTCCCGTTGAAGACCCTTTATCCCGCCTATTCTGGTTTGATCGGACCTCATCCGTGACCTACTGCCGCAAAATATGTCGTAGCCCCGTAACCAGCCACATAACAAATCCCTTATCGTTCCCACGACCTCTCGGGAGTTGTCTCCTAGCATATTGCCCTGTTGTTTGCCACCTTCTGGGCGTCTCGAGACCGAAGGCATCGTCCAACACTGGCCAGACATCAGAATTTGGAGCATTGGCAGCTTACAGTAGTTATTGTGCCTCGTGTCCTAGCGCGCGTCAGGCAGTGCTACGATGAGGATACGTCGCTCCTTGGCGTTCCTGAACGCTCTCGTAGCATTCGGGGCGCTCTGAAAAGGCCGCGGCGCCAGATGCATCCTCCAGAGCTGCCAGCTCTTAGACATTCCAGATGTATCTTCATTCTCGAAATGTCATCATCCTCGTCTTTGTGTTGGTACAATTCGCTGGGAGGCCCTCGTGACCTCATATGGCCAAGATCGCGCTCAGGACGGCTCAGGTTTGCAACTGCGACGGCCTAGGGTCTAGGAGAAAGTGAGCAGGTTCTTATGTCGGAGGCGTGTTTTGATATGTCGTTGACGTCGTGAAGTGACCGCGGCTTCAGAGGCCCGTATATCTCAATCGCATCTCTGGCGGTATTGGGACCCAATATGAGGCTCTGCAGTCCGAGATGTCGAGCGAGTGTCCGTCGAGCTATTCTGTGATAGCATTCGAGGTCTGGAGAATCCGATCTAAACAGGCTCCTGGCCCTTCCTGAGTTCGACCCCGACCGATGAGGAGGCCCCTCAAAGGGTTTTATTACATGTATTTTGCTTCGAGCGATCCCCGCCCGAGACCGCGAGGGGTGATTCCTAGGAAGCAACGGGCCCCTTCCGGCCTGGCGGCCGCGATATACACTCGTCATCCGTCGAAGACGCAATGCGGGATACCCAGGGACTCGGATGTTTTCCTTGTTTTTTTTCTGAAGCAAACAGAAGGCGCGTTTTTCTCTCCAATGTCAAGATCGACGTTTGTTTCTGCTCTGGGGGCAGGTGTTGTCCGTTTTGAGATTGCCGTCTCGCAGTTGTCGAGTTTGTTAGTGTTGCGATCCGTTTATGCGTGGCTATTTTTCGTTGTTGTTCATGTTTTCCGTTTCTGTTAATTGTGTTTTGTTTTGAGTTGTGCCTCATCATTTTGGGTGTTCTCGTTTTCCGCTCGTGTTGTGCCCAGCACTGTTGGTTTTGGTTTCTTTCGAGTTGACCGCGAAGCAAAAGTTGAGACAGGGGCCAAAACGCGCCCCCCCGCGTTTTCAAACACAGCTCGGCCCAGTGAGCCTCCGGACCCTCTGCAGGCTGGCGGCCGCGGTGTGCAGGGTGTGTGCGGGGCGGGGCGGGATCGCGGCTGGGGAGCATAGAAGGGGAGTCCAGACCAGACCTGCCAGGGAGGGGAGGGGAGGAGGGGAGGGGAGGAGGGAGGGAGGGGAGGAGGGAGGAGGGAGGGGAGGAGGAGGGAGGATCTGCCAGAGCAAAGAGGGAAGGGGAGGAGGGAGAGGGCGGAGTCCAGACCAGATCTGCCAGGCGACCACCTCGGACTTCGGCCACGGGGAGCGGGAGAGGCGCGCGTGGCCGCTCCCGACCGCCGACCACCGGGCCTGCGCCGACCTGTTCGTGCTCTACGCGTACAACATGTGCCCCCCCCACCCCGCCACCCACCCCGCCCTCCTCCCCCCCAGGCGTCCTTCATTCCCCCCCCCTTTCTCCCTCCCTCCTCCCCATTCCCCCCCTCCCCCCGCCCGTGCTCCAGGATTCTCCTCTCTCCCTCCATCCCTTGTCCTCGTCCTCCCCCCCTCCTTTCTCTCTCCTCCCCCGATTGCTCCTTCCACCCTCCATCGTCCTTCTGCCCCCTCCCCTCTCAACAATGCTTCCCTCGCGCTTCCCGCGTAGTCCCTCGTCCAGTCCACACCCTCCTTCCGCACAGTCTCCCGCACCCCTCCTCGCCTTCCGCCTCCCCCGGTGTCCAGCGGCTCCCTCCTCCCGCTCTCCACCTGCCACCTCCCCACCCTCCTTCGCCCTGCCCCTCCCCTTTTTCCCCTCTCCTCGTCCCCCCCCCTTCTCCTTGTCCCCCTCTCCTCCTCCTCCTCGTCCCTCCTCCCTCCTCCTCCTCCTCCCCCCTCCTCGTGCCCCCCCCCTTCTCCTCGTCCCTCCTCCTCCCCTCTCCTCGTCCCCCCTTCCGCCCTTCCAGCACGCCATGGGGTGAGCCTGGCGCTGCGGGGAGCGTCGCCCCCGCGGGACGCGGCAGCCTCGTCTCGGTCGGAGCTGCGAGACACTCGCGAGCAGGGGTATGCTGCGGTCAGCCTGTAGCTTGCCGCCGCATGGGTGCGGGGTGTAATCTTCGACGTAGGATGTCATGCGATGGTGGGAGTGTGTCGGGGGAGTCCATCAAGGATGCGGATGTCGCAGGGTGGGCGGGGGGGGAGGCGACGTGTCAGAGGCGGAATGTGGTACGTTGGCAAGGATACGATGTACATGGCGGGGCCAACGTTGACGTAAAGCGAGGCGTATATACTGTGCCGTGCTGGGCAGGTGAGATGGAGGTGCGGCGAAAGGATGTGCGCTGACAGTCGGTTCAGCCCTTGCCGAGCATTCCGACGTCTGAATAATTCATTGTGCACGCAGTGCATGCCCGACACCGTGCCAAAAGGTACCGCCGGCGTGATATTACCCGCATGTGGCAGACTTTGTGCGGCGGCTACGAGCGCAGGACACGGCCTTGTTTCCTCATTGCCGCTTCCTTTTGTCGGCATGTCAGTCCGACCGTTATCCCCACGTGGAGTTGAATCGAGACCACAATCATTGACAATAGTTTCAGCAATCGCATCGTCATCGACATCGTCTTTGATGGGCGGCCTGCCTCATGCTTGGCGACGTCACCACCGCGCCGCCATCGCCGTCGCTGCTCCAAGAGATTGCCTTGAGTTGCCCCGACCGGTGGGCTTGCTTCGACGAGGCCGATGCTTGCGGAGTGGTTTTGTTATTCGGGGGCGAGTCCCCGGATACTCTTTCCTGGACTGGTTTGGCGGCGCTAGTTGTTGTGCGTTCGGCTTGAGTGCGTAACCCCCAAGACAAGGCCTGGACACGAGCTGAGACCCTGATCCCATGCGGATGCATCAAGCTGACCACACGCCTGGGATGGGCTTCCGACTGCATGCCCCGAGCTAGCGAAACTTGAGGGGGATTTCTGAGCCTTCGACTTTTTGCTCGCATGGAGACTAGAACTTGCTCGGGAGCGGTTGTCGCATTGGGTTCCAGGTGCCTAAGCCGATTGTTCATTCTCCAGCCTTCGCTTAGGCAGTGCCAGGAAGGGTCACCACCGATGGGTCCCCTCCTGTGGAGGATCGAGGATCGAGGAGGAGGGGAGGATCGAGAATCGAATTGGCGTCTTGACATTCTCTGGAGTCTTGGGTGGTTTTTTGGGTCAGTGAGGGGGGGAGTGCGGGGAGAGGGGGGAGAGTGTCCTAGGGGTCATCCCCCCTAGTGGTGCCCCCTCTGAGAACGCTTGGGCTGCGCCGACAAGCCAAGGCGCTGGAGAAGACAGCACGTCGGGCCCCCGAGGGGCCATGACTTCGGGCCGCAACTTTGGTCCAGGCCGAGGTGCCGGTTCGTGGCCGGGGGCTGGCCGAGACCAGGAGAGCCCCTTCGTTTCTCATTCAGCGCGCCTTCTAGTGGCACGAGGAAGGTGTCCCAGGTCGTATCTCGCGCATTTGCCCCTCGCAAATGTTAGCTCACGGGTGCCGCACCGACATCGCGATTCAAGAGGTCGCTGGGCAAGCCAGGGGCCCCGCACAGCAGAATCGAGAAGCATAAGCTCGCGCCCTTTTTTATTCGCATCTCTTCCCGATGAAGGCAGCATGACCTGCAGACGGCGTCAGGCCTCCCGGCTCGAGCTGACGGACGCCCCCCCCCTCTCTTGATCCAGTGCCTGCCTTGGCAAGCTCCACGTCTCCCTTCCCCTCCTCCGCCTGCGCAGGCGACTCTCGCCCACACTCCGACGAGACGGGGGGGCTCCGGAGTGCACCCTCAGGGGGCGATTCATATGGCTCCGAGTGATCCTGCCAGTCGAGTGTCCTACTGAGTCGCTGAGTCGGGCATTGGGGTCGCCATGCCTCCTCTTCCTCTTCCTCTTCTTCTCTGCCCCTTGCGTGGCGCTGCCATGCTTGCCAGCAGCCTGCATGCGACTCTCCATGCTCCAAGGGTTCGCTCTGACCGCCCAGAGAGTGCAGCCACCTATCCTCAACAGTCAGTGGCATCGCCCAAATGTATGACTTGCCAAGTTGTGGAATTGACGTCTGGACTGGTTTATGCCCTTGCTTTCCTGTGCTCCTTTTGTCCGCCCCTCCGGCCCCAGCATGGACACATATGCAGAGCTGCTGAAGCGGAACCCAGCCTTGAAGCCGATGCTTGAGTCAATCTCGGCCCAGCTGAAGCGTGGAGCGGTGGTTGGCCGCGACCCTAGCATGTGCGACAATCCGCGCCGAGGGTGTAGCTGACGTCATGAGCTGTCAGACTGGGGTCAGCACGTCCAGAGGGAATCGCAGAATGACCCATACGAACGATGTCACCCAACCGCTTCTTGTGAGAAGTTGCCCCCAGGCTGGGTAATGCTTCTTTCTCGGGAGGTGGACGCACGAGTGAATGGGGGCGACGAGATGAGTGCGGGGTGGATGGAAGGGGCGAGGAACGGGACGGGGGAGCGGAGGGAGGGGATGGAGGAAGCGGGGAGCGAGAGGCGGATGGGATGGAGGAAACGTGGAGGGGAGGGAGGGGATGGAGGAGTGGAGTGGAGTGGACGCCGTTGCGGAAGCAAGAGGGAGGGGATGGAGGAAACGGGGACGGGGAGAGGGGGGAGGGGAACGGGGAGGGAGAGGCGGCTTGCTGGAAGGCGTGGGGGCGAGGAAAATAGGGCCGCCTCCCAAGGGGCGTCAGCTAGTTCCTCAGGCGATCGCAAACATGGATTAAGGGGCGTGGATTAGCGACAGGTTCCGTTTCCATGGGGAATCGAGGGCTCCCGCCGCCGAACGAGGCGGTACCGGCCGCATTTGGGGGAGGGCACTTCCCCAGATCCATGGATTTGGCGACCGCGCGCCAACTCCATGGATCGCTAATCCACGTTTGCGCGCACACGAGAGGGGACGGTGACGGACGGGGGGTGAGGGGACGCGGGGGGGGAGGGGAATGGGCGTCGTTCTTGCAAGCGTGGTGTTACCCAGGCGTGCCAGGGAAGAATCGGGGAGGAGAGACAGGGAGGAGGGGACGCCGCAGCGAGAGGGAGCGCGGGGGATGGAGAGGGGTAGTATAAGAGGGGAGCGCGAGGGTTCAAAATAGGGAAAAACCGGAAGAGTACCATCTGTGGAAGTTCAAATGGATGTGTCTCGGCTGTGTGCGGGATGTTGAGGAAGCGTTGCTTGAAAATTACGCTACCGAGGAACCCCACATATTTACTTTATGTCACGTGCGTTCACAAACAATATCACATCCTGCTTCGCCATCCTGACGAGCCAGACTGACCAGACCAGCCATATCAGCCAGACCAGCCAGACTGACCAGACCAGTCGGATCAGTCGTTCCAGCCATAACCAGCCAAAGTAATCAGACCAGCCAGCCACGCCTGCTGTGCCTGGACGACCGTCGTGCATAGCGGCCGCGGTGAGAGACCACCCCCTGCGCACCCCCTGTGGTGTCGAGAAAGTGCCACGCCTGCTGTGCCTGGACGACCCTCGTGCATAGCGGCCGCGGTGAGAGACCACCCCCTGCGCACCCCCAATGGTGTCGAGAATGTGCCACGCCTGCTGTGCCTGGACGACCGTCGTGTATAGCGGCCGCGGTGAGAGACCACCCCCTGCGCACCCCCTGTGGTGTCGAGAAATTGCCACGCCTGCTGTGCCGACCGTCGTGCATAGCGGCCGAGCTCAGGGACCACCCCCTGCGCACCCCCTGTGGTGTCGAGAAAGTGCCACGCCTGCTGTGCTTGGACGACCGTCTTCCATAGCGGCGAGCTCAGGGACCACCCCCTGCGCACCCCCTGGTGTCGAGAAAGTGCCACGCCTGCTGTGCCTGGACGACCGTCGTGCATAGCGGCCGAGCTCAGGGACCACCCCCTGCGCACCCCCTGTGGTGTCGAGAAAGTGCCACGCCTGCTACGACCCTAGCGGCCGAGCTGACCACCCCCTGCGCACCCCCTATGGTGTCGAGAAAGTGCCACGCCTGCTGTGCCTGGACGACCGTCGTGCATAGCGGCCGAGCTCAGGACCACCCCCTGCGCACCCCCTTGGTGTCGAGAAAGTGCCACGCCTGCTGTGCCTGGACGACCGTCGTGCATAGCGGCCGCGCTCAGGGACCACCCCCTGCGCACCCCCTATGGTGTCGAGAAAGTGCCACGCCTGCTATGCCTGGACGACCGTCGTGCATAGCGGCCGCGCTCAGGGACCACCCCCTGCGCACCCCCTATGGTGTCGAGAAAGTGCCACGCCTGCTATGCCTGGGACGACCGTCGTGTCATAGCGGCCTGGACGAGCAGGGACCACCCCCTGCGCACCCCCTCTGGTGTCGAAAGTGCCACGCCTGCTGTGCCTGGACGACCGTCGTGCACGAGCTCAGGGACCACCCCCTGCGCACCCCCTGTGGTGTCGAGAAAGTGCCACGCCTGCCTGGACGACCGTCTAGCGGCGAGCTCAGGGACCACCCCCTGCGCACCCCTATGGTGTCGAGAAATGCCACGCCTGCTGTGCCTGGACGACGTCGTGCATAGCGGCGAGCTCAGGGACCACCCCCTGCGCACCCCCTTATGGTGTCGAGAAATTGCCACGCCTGCTGTGCCTGGACGACCGTCGTGCATAGCGGCCGAGCTCAGGGACCACCCCTGCGCACCCCCTATGGTGTCGAGCAAGTGCCACGCCTGCTGTGCCCGGGCGACCGTCGTGCATAGCTGTCGAGCTCAGGGACCACCCCCTGCGCACCCCCTCTGGTGTCGAGAAAGTTCCACGCCTGCTGTGCCTGGACGACCGTCGTGCGTAGCGGCCGCGCTCAGGGACCACCCCCTGCGCACCCCCATGGTGTCGAGAAAATGCTACGCCTGCTGTGCCTGGACGACCGTCGTGCATAGCGGCCGAGCTCAGGGACCACCCCCTGCGCACCCCCTGTGGTATTGAGAAAGTGCCACGCCTGCTGTGCCTGGACAGCCGTCGTGCGTAGCGGCCGAGCTCAGGGACCACCCCCTGCGCACCCCCTGTGGTGTCGAGAAAGTGCCACCCCTGCCACGCTCTGCCGTGCCGTGCCCTGCGCGCCTGCCCTGTGTGCTATGCTGTGCTGAGCTGTGCTGCGATGTGCTGTGCTGTGCCGTGCCGTGCTGTGCTGCGGTGTGCTGTACTGTGCTATGCTGTGCTGTGCTGTGCAGGTGTGCTGTGCAAAACTGCCACGCCTGCTGTGCCGTGGACGACCCCTATGGCGTCGAGAATGTGCCGCACGTGCCAAGCCTGTGTGTGTGTGTGTGTGTGCTGTGCTGTGCTGTGCTGTGCTGTGCTGTGCTGTGCTGTGCTGTGCTGTGCTGTGTGCGCTGCGCTGTGATGTGCTGTGCTGTGCTGTGCTGTGCTGCGCTGCGCTGCGCTGCGCTGCGCTGCGCTGTGCTGTGCTGTGTGCGTGAGGAGGAGGGAAAGGAGGAGGAGGAGGGGAGGAGGGCGGGTGTGGGTGAGACGCGGGTGCGGCGCGGGTGGGAAGAAAACCGGAACCCCACGAAGCATGTGGGGAACAAAACAAGTGATGGATAGCGAGGACTGGCGAGGATCGGTACGGAGCGAGGAGGACAAGGTTGCCGTGGTTTGAGGAACGAGAAGGATGATCGAGGAGGGAGATCGCGAAGGAGAAGGATGATCGACGAAGAGGGTTGAGGAGGAGCAGGGAGAAGGGGAGAAGCAGGGTGAACATCTACGAAGAGGAGGAGGACGACGAGCAGGAGCATAAGACGGATCACAGAGGAGGAAGATGGTGTGACAGCAGAGGGAGAAGTGCTAAGTATGAGAAGCTGAAAGCGAAGGAGGATGGGGAGTTGATAGGAGAAGATGGGGAGGGAGGACACAGTCGCACTGAGGTTACGACAAGGCGTTCATCGCTAAGCACACTGGGGGCGACGACGCTGGCAGCGCAAAGGCGTGGCGGCCCCGACGCCCCAAGCCTGCCGAGGGGATTTCCATAGCGACACAGCGCACATCTCATGCCGACTTGGCTGAAGAAGGCAGTCTCTCGGCATGCTAGTTGTTGCTTCTCTTACTATTACCACACAGTGCCAGCACTTTGAACCTCTTGCTTGAGTTAGACACCGGACAGGTGCCCCCAGGTTTCGCCGGGTGTCCAGCTGGTGGCCAGTCGTGGGCGCCTCGAGGGTGACCCGGGCCCTGGGTGTGTCCACCGGGCTTTCGCCTGGTGCCGGTTCTGGTGGCTGTTCGTGTGCGCCCCGTGGGCGCCCCATGCGCTGGGTGGGTCCGTCAGGGTTTCGCCCGGTGCTCGCACCACGGAGGCCCCTTCCCCTGAAAGAGATTCGATTTCATCCCCTCGCCGAGGCCATGCTTGTCGGCTCCCTCCGTGTTTTTTGTTGTTTTGAAAGCACGGTCGTCCGTCTTAGACGTCAAGTGAACAAGATTTTTTGTTTTGAAAGCACGGTCGTCCGTCTGAGACGTCAAGGGAACAAGAAACACATCCCAGCCAAGCCGGCATCGATTCCTCCGTCGCCGCTTCTGGCAGCAGAAACATTATCGGTGCACGTGCGTGGATCTAAGAAGCGTTTTCTGTAAGAGTCCCATTTGGAGCCTGCGTTGCGGGTCACATTCGCTCGCCGCCGCCGCGCGCACTTCGACATTTTGCTTGATATCATTCCACAGTCATGAAACCATTGGTCTTCCATCAGAAGTGCCAGAATTCTGCGCGCGCTCGCTTAATCCAGGAGGGAGCAAAAACATACGGACACAATGAGTTGTCGATTCCACATAGAATCAGGGAAAATATGGGAAGTGTGGGAGGAGACGAAACTCCAAAAAATATATGGAAGAGTATAGGGGGATCCTGGGATTTGTGTGTATTAATTTGTGTGTCCCTGGGCCCCTTCATGAAGTCATGTTGGGGTCGTATGTCGCCGCGCCGTTTGCTCCGACGCGCGGCCATCCGTCTCGGGGAAGGCGCGGCGGCCACCGGGACAAACGCCGCCTCGGACGCAGGGCTTGCCGTGTGTTTACCGCGGTCGCCACGGCCGCCCACCGCGCTCTGGCCCTGCGCGCCTGGCTGCTGCTTCCCGCCGGCTGCTCATCAGCGAATTCTTCGGCGTCTGAGCGTCCCTCCTTCCTCTCGGCCTTCCCCCTCCGTCCATGCATGCCAGCCAATTCGCTAGTTAGTGCCCCTACCTAGCTGTTACGCTGGTGCGGATTTCGCCGCCTCGCCGCTGACGAAAAAGTTGACTGCGGTGCAGGCTTCGTGTGGTTGGGCGCGGGGCGCAGTGTTTGCCGTGGGTGTGCTGTGGTGTCGGCTTTGTCCACTTGGTAAAGTCGAGTACAAGCGGCGCGGCGGCACATGTTTACAGCTAGTCTGCCAAATGAGCCCATGCGAGGCATTCGCGCGCACATGACGAACACGTGTGACCATCATCAGGGGCCCACCCATTTGTCAAACGATAGAGCTTTCCGCGTGGGCACGCCGAAATCTTGCTGTCGAAAATTTGCGACCAATACATCTCAGCACAGAGGTGGTAAACCACATAAGAGAACGAAGTGCTTCCGATAAGAATCCTGTCTGGGTGTCCGACTGTCTGCGGGGGTGCGCTTTTTCATCACCCAGATCAGCACAATACTTATCGTAATCGCCAGCGTCATCATGGCCATCGTGGTCATCCACAGCATCGTCGGGATCATCGCCGCCGCTGTCAGCGTCATCGCCGTCATCGTCGATGTCGTCATCTTCGTCAATTTCACCTGCCCGCGCTTCCTCCACATCATCATCGCCAGCACCGTCTCCATCACCATCATCAGCACCACCATCTTCAGCATCATCACCGCCAGCGTCATCGATGTCACTGCCAATATCATCGCCAGCAGCTTTATAGTTATCGCATCGTCGTCCACGTCGGCGTCATTACCACTGTTATCTCAATCGTTGTTGTCGTCGCGGTCGTCACCATGACCACCACCATTTCTCGACTTGCGGGCGGATTTGTTTGTGCGATTGTGTTCCACGCGACCGTGCGTTTGTTAAGATCATGGCCAGATGTTTGTTTTGCAAACAAGTTGCTGGTGGGAGGGTGGGATGCTTGCCCGAGCATTGGAGTTGACCACCGCAAGCTTTACATAATAATTGCACCACAGAGTTCGCACCATGTAGTTTTGTTGCCACATAGCGTTTCTTGCACCGCATCGCTTGCACCACGTCGTTCTCACCACATCCCGTATACACAACATGTATTGCACCAAATACATTTGCACATATAGTGCACATGCTCAGAGTTTTGAGTCCACGCTGGCAAACATTAGATTCGTGGACATGTGTCATATTCTTGGGGCCAGGGACGATTATCAAATGACCAGTCGGTCCCACAACTGATTGTAGAACGGGGCCCGCCTAGAGAAAAGGGCGTGCGCGTGAGCGCGCCCACGGCTTGCACACAGCTGCCGGTTGCAGGCACTAGTGCATCGTTGGCTCATGGTCGGAGTGGGCGTCTTGGGTCGGTGCTGATGGCCACAAGGGGCCCCACAGGTATGGTGTCAGCAGCCTGCCACATGTCGTGTTGAGACGGGCCGCCTGGATTTCATTGCGCGCTGCCGGCTCCCGCGGCTGCTGCAGCCCGGGACGCTCGGCAGCATAGGCAGCATAGGAGCTGATTTAAGCCACTGGTGGATTTGCGGTGCTCGGGGAAGCGGCTGGTGACAGCAGACGAGGGACGAGTACAACGCCTGGAGGGGATACCCCGAATTACCGGGACATCTGCGCTCTCTTTACCAACCCCACGTTGAGCCGACGTTGCCAAGGAAACGAGTAATCTAGACTTCCAGATGGGATCGGAGCAAATCGGGTCGGAGGATCGCGCCGCATTGCCGATGCATCTGCGATGCGTCTCGATGTGTATCCCGATGTTCTCCACGCCGACGTCGCCGATGCATCGTCGATGCATCGCAGACGTCGGCTACACATCGCCGATGCATCGGCGATGCGGCGCGATCCTCCGACGCTATATACTCCGACCCCTCTGGGAGCCCCTGAAGAAGGACGGATCACCTTTCAGGCCCCGCAAATGTGCGCATGAATACGAGGAGGCATAGAAACAATATTCACCATGTCTTGCCATCTTTGGCGACACTGAAGTACTCTGGCAAATTGCTTGCAGTGAGCCAAGGCCCAAGAACATGTGCATTGTATTCTATGGTGGGGCAGAGGGGAGTCCCGTCGACCCTATCACTGGGGCGCACGAGGTGGAATGACGGACGGCGCCAGGCAGTGGCGGGTTCAACGCGAGGGCGAACATCTAGTGGTCGTCGGCTCATTCCGCCACCGCGCCTGGGTGTGTTTCAGAGGCCCTGGAAGCATCAGAGGCCCCTTTATGAGGTCTCCTGGGCGACTTTTACGCCGCCTTCTCGGGGTTTACTTGGTGGCGTCTTGGGGCATCTGGTGGTCTCTTGGGGTTCTTGTGATCACCTTTGAACGATTGGCTCCCTGCGACGCGGTGGTGGCACACTTCTTGGGGCCCTCCTGAAGTCGTCTTGGGATTCTCTTGGGCTTGTCTTGGTTGATCTTGAGGCCGATCTTGGAGGCTTCTTGGGCCGTCTTGGGCTTTCTTGCGACTGACACGGGGAGACATTTCCATATCGTGCGGAATCAGATTGATTCACACGATGTTGTTTCTTTGGTTAGTTCCACGAGATCTCCAAGATCTCCGCCAAGGATCCCCAAAGACGGCCAAAGTGGCCCCATGATCACCCCGGTCACTCCAGTAACAAAGGGGGGTGGGGGAGAGTACCTTCCCCCCAACAGGACCCCCACAATGAATTTCGACGCGTTGTGTCCGTAACGGCGATGGTCACGACACTCATAATTCAAGGCGCAGGCGGCAATGCAGCTGAGAATCGTCCACTCAACCCCACCTGATGGGCAGGCGAGGCTGCTTGAAACAGAGTGTGTCGAGGATCTAGGGAGTCTTCCCTTCCTGCTGCGGCACGGGGGGTTCGGGTCTGGGAGCGACCCAGGCTGAAAGGCGATGGGGTCCTTGGCGCATACCGCACCGACGCACCGAGATGATTCTTGGATGGCTTAGATCTTAGTGGGCCCAGGAAACGACAGGGCCGTTTTTTACCGGTTCCGTTTTGCCGTTTTTGTTGCCCGTTCCGACGCCGTTTTTTTACCGGTTCCGTCGCCGTTTTTTGACCGGTTCCGGCTCCGGTTCCAATCCTGGAGCCGTTTTTTGCCGTTTCCGGTCGCCGTTTTTTTGCCGTATCCATTTTTAAGGGACACTTTTTTGGACACGGTGAAAAAACGGCCCTGCCGTTTCCGGGGCCCACAAAGGTCTAGATACGGTGCCGCCATGCTTATGGTTGTTTGGCTTTGGTTGCGGGGGTGGTGCACGGCATGGGCCTCCGCAGGCCCCCTGGGGCGCGCTCTTCGGACACCGTGGGCGCGACAGTTCGACGTCGGCCCGCCTGAAGCACGAGGCTCGGCAGAGGCAGCTTGGACCGATCTTGGACCTCCTGGGGCGCGTCCCTCGTCCCAAGCTTCGTGGGTCTGCCCCCGACTCCTCAAGCAGTGGCGAAGCGTCCTGGCTCGCCCAGAGGCCCACCACAGGATGTCCTCAGAACCTTCTGTGGTCTGTACGGACTGTTCTTAGAACATTTCTGGGTGAGACTGTCTTGTTTTGGCACGTCGCGCTTATGTTCTAAGAAAATTGCTTTTGTTCTCAAGGGCATTTTGGAGTTCTGAGAAGAATTTGTGGTAGGCCTATAGGAATGCCGGGACGGTCGGTCCCTGCCCAAAACTCTGTGCATGCCGGGGATCGGAGTGCGAGGGCAGCGGCCGATCTGGGCTAGGCTCTCCGGCAAGGTCGCTGGTGTGTGTGTGTGTGTGTGTGTGTGTGTGTGTGTGTGTGTGTGTGTGTGTGTGTGTGTGTGTGTGTGTGTGTGTGTGTGTGTGTGTGTGTGTGTGTGTGTGTGTGTGTGTGTGTGTGGGGGGGGGGCGTGGCCTCGGCGACCCCGGGCAGGGCCGGGTGCTCTGAGGGCATGGCAACATGCTTGGACTTCAGTCGTGCCTGTCCGTCTACAGGAGGCAAGTTCACAAATTGTATTCAAAACATCGTCAGGAGACGATTGTGTCTCCTCTTTTTTTGTGACAATTCTTCAATTTTCGCCCAGAATCCCCCTGTAGGGGAACATGCCCGACCTAAGACAACATGCTCGGACTCATCCGTTCAGCGAGGGGTGTGAATAATAAGTATCAACTTGCGGCGGCGTCTGACTTGTGGCTACGGTCGGACTCGAGGTCGGCTCGGGGAGGGTACCTTGGTATCCTTCGTGCCTGTTGGACGTTCTTGTGCATCCTGGGGGAGGATGCCCTCGAATATTCGGTTTGTTTTGGCCGACGGAGGGTCTCATGTCCTTTAGGGATGTCCTTCTGTCTTAGGTTTAAGTCGGGCGCTTTCCTCTGCAGGAGGAATATTCAAAAAAAGTCCCAAAATAATAGGGGGACGATTTTTGTTTTTTTGAGTAAGTTTCGCGTATGTTTTGTCAATGCTTGCGCGAATAGTAGATATAGACCCGCGGCGGCGTCCAACTTGTGGCTACGGTCGGTCCGACGGTGGCTCACCCGGAGCTTCCGCGCGGCTTGCCCGGAGCCCCCCTTGGGAATGCCCACATTGGAGGCGCGCCCACAGAAAAAGAAAACGGGTCGACCTGCCGCCCCGTCCCGACCTTTGCACATCCTATGCTCTCTCTCTTCGGTGTCGTTTAACCGATCCCCATCCCCATCCCCATCCCCTTCGAGACCCCCACCAAATTACCGCCCCAGTTGGGGGTACACTCCTCGCAACCCGAAGGGAATGGCCTACATCCCCATCCAGGGGGGTAGGTTGGCCAGTGGGGCCCAGGCCACGCTTCTGGGGGATCGATCAAACGTTGCTCACTACTGAGCCCAGCAGCCCTACGGGCGGCCACTCGAGGAGCGAACGATGCCATCACGGCTCGTGCTTACCACGACTCCTGGCGCATGCAGCAGCGAGCATGCCACATGGAACAGTGCGCTTTCAGTGCCGCCGAACGGCCGAGGAGGGCGCCCAAAAGGGGCTCCACACACCGTCGTGGCAGGAAGCTTCACTTGCACCAGTGCGTGTCACGGAAAAAGCTTTGCACTCTCTTTTCCGTTTCTTGGCATCGTTCGGACGTGAGTGTTTTTCTTCGGGGAGGACCCTCCAGGAGCATTTTGGATCACTTTGCGATAAAAAACACACGCACGAGACTGAAAATGCACGGTGAATGGGCGTTCGAGCGATGGCGAGTCTCTCTCTCTCTCTCTCTTTCTGTCTGTCCAGGTCTCTGTTGATTTCATGATGTGCCATGCTCTCGGCAACTTCATGATTCGCCAGGGCCTGGCGCCAGAACGCAGTTGCCACACTTGTTTCACCGTGCACTCTAGATCTTCGTTGCCTCCATAATCTGTCACGTTCACAACTGATCAATAAATCCCGAGGGCCTGCCGCCACAGCGCAATTGCCACAGTTGATTTCCCCCAGACGCGAATTCGAGATGGTCAGTTCGCAGCTTCGCATCTCGCACCTGCGTCTGTCCCACATAATGCGTCCCCGCTGAGGTATCAAACCATGTCGCAGCAGCCCCGCGCCGATGTTTGCACAGCATGGGCTCACCTCTTGTTCGTCGGATGGTCGTCCGCTCTCCCCTGTTCCCACCGACGACATCGCTCGGTGAGGAGTGGAGCAGCCAGGGATGGCTCCAGAGAGGGGGGCGCGACCAGGTGGGTTGGGAGGCATCCTCCAACGTCTCGCATCCAGCGCCCATCGGGGCACGAAGGCCTCGCGCTGCCCAGCCAGCTGCAACATCGCGAGCTGGCATCCGGGGGAGATGCGACGCCGACGTATTCGGGATGCAAGGCCATTGCGTTCTGGAGACGAACCTTCCCGAAGCCTCCCGTCAGGGGAGGGGCTTGGCATCGCTCGGACGTGTGCATTTTTTCTCGGCGAGGACCATCGAGGAACATCCTGATCATGTCGGAGAAATGCACGCCCGAAACCGAAGCATGCACGGGGAATGGACGTCCGAGCCATGGCAAGGGGGCAGCACAAGGGAAGCAAGGGGTAGCAGTGCTGGGCGGAGGAGAGGGTCGACTTTTTTTGCTCGTTCTCGTCCCCCGCCTGACTCCGCCCTCCAGAGGGCCGCACGGCGGACGCCGACCTCTTCAAGCGGAAACCGAAGCAGGCGGCGTTCGACTCGACGTTCCCGCGCGCACCGGGGACGGCGGATGGTTCAGGCGCTCGAAGGCGGCGAGCAAGTCCAGGACCCCTCCCATCCAGGACCCGCTTCCCTCATGCTCACCGATTTCAGAACCGAAGATTCCAAATGTGTCGTCTCCAGAATCCATGATCGAATTATCTTGGCGCCGTCTTTCAGCGTGTACCGTTGGGTTCCGCATTGTGCTGTTGGGTTCCGCGTTGTTGCTTGTTGCAGGTCCAGCAGGATCTCATATTTAGAGTTGGCGATGGGGCACAATCGTATGTGAATTGCACGTCCTCTGGCCGAAAGGACAAAACTGGGAAGGTGGTGGTAGCGGTGGATCCAAATTCCTTCTTAGAAGAAGGATGCTATATGTTGTGTGATTTATGTAGTGCAACCTGTGCGGTGCAATCTACCCGAGGCTGCGACGGGGTGGCGACAGCGACTACATAGCCGCCAGACCGACCTTCAGGCCCAGACGACGGGCGGCGATGAGGCGGCGACGGAGCGGCGACGACGAGTAAGTAGCCGCCAGAGCCACCGTCAAGCCCAGGCGACGGGCGGCGACGAAGCGGCGACGGGGCGGCGACGCCGACAACGTAGCCGCTCCACCGACCTTCAGGCCCAGACGACGGGCGGCGACGGAGCGGCGACGGCGAGTACACAGCCGACAGACCCACCTTCGATCCCAGACGACGGGCGGCGACGGGGCGGCGACGGCGAGTACATGGCCGCCTGACCGACCTCCAGGGCCAGCTCCCCGCATCACAAATAAGTTCCCTAAGGGCAAGCACTGACTGGGGAATGGAAGCCTATGTTTGAACTTGTTCGTGGAGACGAAAGTCATACACGGGGAGGACGGGATACCTCCAGGACGTAGACAGGGAAGAAAGGACAATTCATTTCACATGGGCGCAGGAGGTGTGGGGGATGGGTGAGACACTGGAAGGGGATGTGGAGTAGCTGAAGGAATGAGAGAGAAGGAGATGGCACGCGGGCAGCTGTTGCCACAGCCCCCCGCCCCCCTGCCCAGCCGGCGAGGTTCGCGTCCGTGGAAGACAGCGCCATGCAGTCGTTGCCTGGGACTTGGCGCGGAGTCCCAGAGAGCGTTGCACGTTCGGCTCTGACAGGTTCGCTTGCATGTCAGTCCCCCCCGCCAATCGGACGCCGTTTCAAACACCGCTGCGCCGAAACAAAACGTGAAAGTGAGTCACGTCTTGTGTGGAGTTCAGATGTCCTACCAGGCCTCGCTCTGCCTCCCCCTTCCCCCTACATTCCAGTAAGTTTGATGGAGTCTACTGAACTGCATCGTTGGAGGGATTCTTGGAGGCCTCCAAGAGGAGTCCAGCGAGGAAGGCCACAGCGCGGTCCGATCCCGCAGGGAGGCTCGGCATGTGGAGGTTCCCGAGGGGGTCCCGTGAAGCCACGCGTGTCCAAAGCGAAAGCGGAATTATGAGGATGGGTCCGCATGAGCCCGTGTTCTTGAATAATTCGTGGTGGGGTCTGTTTTTTGAAGCCGAGGCTTTACATTTCAAAAAAGGCGGGCCCCAACAAGGTTTGGTGCGCCTGGCGTTTCCTTTTCGACTCTGGACTCTAGGCTCTCAGGGTCTTGCGTGTAGCGCCTGGCTCACCGTATTGACATGTGCAGTCGTGAAGCAAGAGGCAGCGAGTTCTTCGTCAATCTGGGTCGCAGGCTGGGCCAGGACCACCACTACCCCACCACCGCCACTTAAGCCATGGCGAGCACCACCGTCAGGGGACCGAGCCCAGGCCGGGTCAGCATCGCCACCATCGGGCGGGTGGCAGTGTGGGGGGGGGGACCTGCACGGGGGTGGAGAAGAGGAAGGAGCCCTTCAGGGCCCCTTTTGGGCCCCAGCTGGCTCCGAAAAGGGGTCCTAAGAGGGCCCGAAAGGGCCATGCAGGTCACCCCCCATGACCTCCCGCCCGACACCATCCGAGCCGTCGCCGCACAGTTCCTCATCACCTCCATCTCCATCATCATCAAGTCTTGGAGCACCCGCCACACTCCAGAAGGGCGGACGCACCACGAGGGACACGTGCGATGTCCCGCCTCTGCTGATGTGGCCGTGATCCACCGGGACGTCCAGGCGGAGGTTCGGCCGCACCATGGAGAGAACGGCGATCAGGACTCGCCACACACAGGGGCCGAGTAGGGGATCGATTACACAGGCGATTTACCCACAAGTCATTACTTCGTCGGATCCATGAGAAATTCTTATGACGCCAGTAGACCTACAAACACTATATGTGTTTCGTGTCGTAGATTCGGTCAAGTCTGGAGTACATCAACTCTGTAGTCGATGCCACCCTCGAAGGCAGCACCACCACATGGATGAGAAACCGATCAAGTTGTGGGCTGAGCCGCGCCCGCGCCCTGCGAGCAGCCCGCAGCTTGCGGAGGGAATCTGGTCAATCCTCGCGGAGACCCCCGTCGCCAAGTCCGCTGCCCCTGCCCGGGCACACGGGTGGTGACCGGAGTCTTTGCAGGTAGTCGAGCCCGGATTGCTTTTGAGGAAGAGAAGGATGGGGAGGACGAGAAGGAGTAGACACGAATAAGCGGAAGGGGGTGCAGGAAGGGAGGAAACGAGAGGGAGGGAGGAACCAGAATTGTGTGACGATGGCGATGATGATGCTGCTGATCATCATGCTGATGCTGATAATGATGATGATGGTGATGGTCATGATTAAGATGATGATGATGATGATGATGATGATGATGATGATGATGATGATGATGATGATGATGATGATGATGATGATGATGATGATGATGGTGGTGGTGGTAATGATGTTGTTGTTGTTGCCGCCGATTAGAATGGTGATGGTGATGATGATGATGGTGGTGGTGCTGATGATGTTGATGACGATGAAGTGATGACGATGGTTATGGTGATGGTGATGTGGATGAGGATGAGGATGAGGATGAGGATTGTTGTGGTGGTGATGATGATGATGATGAGGAGCAGGAGGAGGGCGACGTCACGGCACAACCAGCAGCAATAGCAAACAGAAGGTGAGGGATTACGAGATGGAGAACCGATGTTGAAGAAGAGGGGCAGGAAGTGAATGACATAGATAAGGAGACGGGAGGCGTGAGGCGGGAGGGATGTTGGTGGGAGCGAGCTGGGCGGGGAGAGGAGGAGGGAGGAATGTGCGGTGCATGCGGGAGACTGGAGGAGGGAGCAAACGAGGAAGCGAAAGGAGGTGGAGGTCCAGGAGGAGGAAGTAGAAGCGAAGAAGAGACAGAGCCGATAGCAAGAGGGGAGCTACAGAGGGAGGCAGGGATGCGCGGCGCTAATGCGAGAGCCACATTTTGAAAACGACCCGCCCTCAATCCGTGAAATACTTGCAACGTTTGAGCACAGATGCGCGCGGCGCTAAGGCGAGAGCCACATGTTGAAAAAGACCCGCCCACCATATGCGAAGTTGTTGCCAATTTTCAAGCTTCAGGTTCATACATGGTGAGGATTTCTCATACGAAACGCCTGGCCCGGCCCACCCGAAAAACTGGCCTCGGGGTGCGACAGGGAGAAGGTATTTATGAGGAGAAGGAATGGAGGAGGAGGAGGAGGAGGAGGAGGAGGAGGAGGAGGAGGAGGAGGAGGAGGAGGAGGAGGAGGAGGAGGAGCAGGCTGGGCCAGGACCACCACTACCGCACCACCGCCACTTTAGCCATGGCGAGCACCACCGTCAGGGGACCGAGCCCAGGCCGGATCAGCATCGCAACCATCGGGCGGGTGGCAGTGTGGGGGGGGGGGACCTGCACGGGGGTGGAGAAGAGGAAGGAGCCCTTTAGGGCCCCTTTTGGGCCCCAGCTGGCTCCGAAAAGGGGTCCTAAGAGGGCCCGAAAGGGCCATGCAGGTCACCCCCCATGACCTCCCGCCCGACACCATCCGAGCCGTCGCCGCACAGTTCCTCATCACCTCCATCTCCATCATCATCAAGTCTTGGAGCACCCGCCACACTCCAGAAGGGCGGACGCACCACGAGGGACACGTGCGATGTCCCGCCTCTGCTGATGTGGCCGTGATCCACCGAGACGTCCAGGCGGAGGTTCGGCCGCACCATGGAGAGAACGGCGATCAGGACTCGCCACACACAGGGGCCGAGTAGGGGATCGATCACACAGGTGATTTACCCACAATTCATCACTTCGTCGGATCCATGAGAAATTCTTATGACGCCAGTAGACCTACAAGCATTATATGTGTTTCGTGTCGTAGATTCGGTCAAGTCTGGAGTACATCAACTCTGTAGTCGATGCCACCTTCGAAGGCAGCACCACCACATGGATGAGAAACCGATCAAGTTGTGGGCTGAGCCGCGCCCGCGCCCTGCGAGCAGCCCGCAGCTTGCGGAGGGAATCTGGTCAATCCTCGCGGAGACCCCCGTCGCCAAGTCCGCTGCCCCTGCCCGGGCACACGGGTGGTGACCGGAGTCTTTGCAGGTAGTCGAGCCCGAATTGCTCTTGAGGAAGAGAAGGATGGGGAGGACGAGAAGGAGTAGACACGAATAAGCGGAAGGGGGTGCAGGAAGGGAGGAAACGAGAGGGAGGGAGGAACCAGAATTGTGTGACGATGGCGATGATGATGCCCCTGATCATCATGCTGATGCTGATAATGATGATGATGATGGTGATGGTCATTATTAAGATGATGATGCTGATGATGATGCTGATGATGATGATGATGATGATGATGATGATGATGATGATGATGATGGTGGTGGTGGTGGTAATGATGTTGTTGTTGTTGCCGCCGATTAGAATGGTGATGGTGATGATGATGATGGTGGTGGTGCTGATGATGTTGATGACGATGAAGTGATGACGATGGTTATGGTGATGGTGATGTGGATGAGGATGAGGATGAGGATGAGGATGAGGATTGTTGTGGTGGTGATGATGGTGATGATGATGAGGAGCAGGAGGAGGGCGACGTCACGGCACAACCAGCAGCAATAGCAAACAGAAGGTGAGGGATTACGAGATGGAGAACCGATGTTGAAGAAGAGGGGCAGGAAGTGAATGACATAGATAAGGAGGCGGGAGGCGTGAGGCGGGAGGGATGAGGGTGGGAGCGAGCTGGGCGGGGAGAGGAGGAGGGAGGAATGTGCGGTGCATGCGGGAGACTGGAGGAGGGAGCAAACGAGGAAGCGAAAGGAGGTGGAGGTCCAGGAGGAGGAAGTAGAAACGAAGAAGAGACAGAGCCGATAGCAAGAGGGGAGCTACAGAGGGAGGCAGGGATGCGCGGCGCTAAAGTGAGAGCCACATCTTGAAAACGACCCGCCCTCAATCCGTGAAATACTTGCAACGTTTGAGCACAGATGCGCGCGGCGCTAAGGCGAGAGCCACATGTTGAAAAAGACCCGCCCACCATATGCGAAATTGTTGCCAATTTTCAAGCTTCAGGTTCATACATGGTGAGGATTTCTCATACGAAACGCCTGGCCCGGCCCACCCGAAAAACTGGCCTCGGGGTGCGACAGGGAGAAGGTATTTATAAGGAGAAGGAATGGAGGAGGAGGAGGAGGAGGAGGAGGAGGAGGAGGAGGAGGAGGAGCAGGAGGACGAGGAGGAGGACGAGGACGAGGAGGGGGAGGGGGGAGGGGAAAAAAGGGACAGGGCGTGGCGGAGGGAAGAGGGGGGAGCTGTCCGAGGCCCCAGCAGCCTTCGATGATGTCGGAGGCCTCGATGCTCATCTCCCCCGAGAAGTCCAAGGACGACGGCATCCAGGTGACGCCAGCACATTGCTGGGGGTTCGGCTCCTGGCTCTGGCTCAACTGGGAAGCTGGAGAACGGGGAGACGCAGGTGGATGAGGAGACATACGAAAAGGGCACGATGAGGAGGAGGTGCATGATGCAGAAGGGTCCAGGGGAGGAGGAGGAAGAGGACGAGGAGGAGGAGGAGGTGGAGGATGCACGTATGAGTAATATGCGGATAAGAGTGACGGGCCGGGCGCGGGTTGGGTCCCAGGTCGGTCCCGGGTGGGCCGCGGGGTCGCAGGTGTGTCGTGGGGGGGTCGCGGGCGAGGACGACGATAACAACAGATAGCAACAACCACAAACAACAAGAAGTTGGGCCAAGGGATCACCACTTTGGCCACGCATCAAAGGACAACGGATGACCGTTCGGCCCCCTCACTTGGACGAGTGGGGAAAATAGAGAGGGAGAGGCGGAATAGCGTCGGAGGCGGAGGAGCAGGCCTTGCTGCTACGTTTCCTGCTACAGTTTTTCGCAGGGTGGAGGACGAAACGGATAATGCAATGCAGGATGGAGGACGCGATTGAGCTGCAGGGTTTTGGAGGGAGGAGGAGGAGGAGGAGGAGGAGGAGGAGGAGGAGGAGGAGGAGGAGAAGGAAAAGGATGGGGAGTAGGTGAAGGGAGGAGGAGGGTGATGAGGGATGCGGAGGGGGAGGTGGAGGTAGGATGAAGTGGTGGAGGAGGAGGAGGAGGAGAGGCAGCGAACGGTGGCTCATGCGAGGTAAACAATGTGGAAGGGCTGGGGGTCCAAAGCGAGGGATTCCAGGGAGGGGTCCCTTCTTGAGGGCCCCATCCAGAGGGTAGCCCACCCCTGGAATCCCTAGATTCAGACCCCGTTCCCTTGGGCGTGAAAGATCAAGCGGGGGCTCAGCTGTCGGAGGGCCAGCGTGGGACTCCCCCGTCCCATGAAGGCCCGGGCGACTTGGGCAGTCTCACTGGTAGATCGACCCCGGCAACTATCTCTGCTGTGCGCAGAGCCTTGCTTGCCGAAAGAGTTGCCCCTCCAGTGCCGCCTGATGCCTCAGCAGCGAACCTGATCCGAGCCCCGGCAAGGTATCCGAGCCGAAGGGTCGGGGCTCAAGAGACGGGGGTCAATGCAAACGGGGGTCAGCCAGGGCACGGGATCCTGCAGGATCCTGCGAAGACCCCCTCTGGATGACCCGGGTTAGCGAGCCGCCCGTGGCCGCGAGGCGGCCGCGCAGATTGGCTGACCCGGGTTTGCGAAGACCTGCGTTGCAGTGTTTCTCCTGCATTGCAGTTGTTTGGGTTTCCTGCTGACCCGGGTCTGGATTTACCCGGGTCCGAAGATCCCCGAAACGGCCTGCGTTTTTTCATTGTCTGGTCTCGGATGGAACGCGGTCGACTATCTGGGCGCCGTGCCCAGACAGCGGACTGGGATAGAGAGCGCTCCCCTGTACCTGGGGAAGCCGACCCCTCCGATCGGATTGCCGGGGACCTGCTGATTCCGTCTGGCCTCACGTCGGGCCTGTTTCTCTACAAGGGCAAAATTCAAAAACAGTCAAAAAATAGTCTGGGGACGATTTTTCGATTATTTCTGATCACGTGGGAATATTTTTGTGGCATGTTTGATCTATCGTCCCAAACCCGCCTGTAGGGGGACACGCCCGACCTAAGCCTGGCACCAGACTATTGGACCCACTGCTCTCTGGGTGGCGACTGTCCCCGCTGCCCACGCCCTTCTCGTTAGCGCGCGAGCGTCTCCCCATTCGGGCTTCCAGACTTATGTCGGGCGTGTCCCTCCACGGGGACCCTTTTAAAAATAGTAAAAAATAATCTGAAGACCATGTTTCTACTTTCTTCACACTGTCGAGTATGTTTTTTGCGTATTTTGATGGTTTCACCGAAAATCCGCCTGTAGGGGGGCATGCCCGACCGAACTCTAGACTCTGAGCGGCATCGTCGCTTGCTGTCACTGCCCTCGCTCTTCGCATGCGCCGCTCACGATGTTGCAGCTGCGGGCCGCTGGCTTCAGCTGCGTGCCCCACTTGCAGCCCCCCATCCGCCCATTCGGCCATTGTTGTTTCTCTGACTGGCTGGTCCCCGCAGCGTAACTGAGGATGCGTCGGGCTCCTTACGCGGACCCAAGGTACTGTCTGAGCAGTGCTGGTCCTCGCTCTCGCTGCCATCCTCTGGCGCACTCGCGGATCCCAACGGCGTAGCTGATGACGGAAGGCTCCAGATCTGTTTCCCACGCGCGATCTCAAGTACAGTTTCGCTGCGGCCGGAATTCAGTCCCCAAATTGCAGCACTTGGGAAGTGTGGCCCCAGGCTGGTGCAACATGAAATACGAGGATGTATCGGCACGAGCTGAATTTGGCGAGAGCGGATTGGCTAGGTGGGGAGTGGAGGTACGGGCAAGATCGGATGCTGGCGCCTGAGTCATACCTGGCACTTCGAGGTAGAGCCCGATGTTGGACTCGAGGTGCCAGCTTGACACGATTCTAGATCATGCCTTCGATGAGCTGTCTTTGGCCAAATATTCCCAGTCTTTCGGAATCCAGCCGGCTGCATCGGCATGTTTTACACATTCCAGAGTGAAGGCGGCCGCCCATCATCAACGAAGTATCTACTGCCACACCTCCTCCCGTTCCCCCCCCTTCATCTGAAGATCACAGCGGAGCACCTAACGACGTACATCTAGTAACTAGGGTACCCCTTGCACTACCAACAGAGCCACCACCCCCCTCCAATACGCCCTTGAGGTCACTCGGGGGCAAGTTACGAGATGAGTCCAGCAGGCCGAGCCGTACGCTATTGATCAACTAAGCCCCCTCCCATACCTCCTCCATGTCCACCCCCCTACACCCTGACATCCCCGGGGGGGGCGCGTTACGAAGTGTATCACTCTGGCTGCCCCCAACATCAGCTGAGGCCCCGCTCCCGCACCGTCTCCATCTCCCCCTCCCCCTCACCTTGTAGTCGGAACCGCCCACCTTCAACCACGCACCCGCCCTTGCACTTCTCCACGTGCAGATCAGCAACACGGTCAGACCAGATCCTCGGATCCCTCCCGCTTGGCATCGCTCGGACGTGTGTATTTTTTCTCGGCGACGGCCATCGAGGAGCATCCTTGATCATTTGGCGAAAAACACACGCACGAAATCGAAAAATACACGAGGAATGGACGTCCGGGCCTAGCCTGGTCAGCGTGCCGTCCTGCGGAAATGACGGCCCCTGGCCCCGAAGCCAGAACCCCGACCTGCCGGGGTCGACCCTGGATCTTCCGCCGCCCCCCCCTCCAGGGGTCAAACGCCGACCGCCTGCCACATCCCTGGGTTTCAGTCGGGCCTGCCCCTCTACAGGAGGAAGCTTCAAAAGCAGTCAGAACATAGTCTGGGGACCATTCTTGAGCATTCTTGCAGTATCGTTGAGTATGGGCGTGCCTGACCTAACCCTGGGCAGATCCCGCCGTGGCGAAGGGAGCGCCCTGGGAGGACAGCAAATGCAGAACACATCGAAGCACGCCCAACGACTTGTGTCCACGAAGTTCAAGCATCCAGTCCTCACCCCTCGCCTGGAGATCACGGGGGACTATCTCACGAAGTACCTGAAAGAGATGGACGGCGACGACTCGCAGTTCAAAGACATCAGCCCTGCCGTGGCACCGCTGTCTACAGGCCGTGGGATCGGGCCGCCAGCCCCGGTATGCCAGAGTGGAGGGGAGGAGGGTGGAGGCAATTCATCCCTCGAGGAGGTTCACCCCCAGGGGGGTCGCCAGCGCCTCCTCAGAGCAGAGGATCGCGGAGGGCTTCCCCTGAGCAGCGAATGCCGCGAGAGCCTCCCGTCGTTTCCAAGGAGGCGCTTCTCGGTCTCGGGCTGCGGAGGGAGCGCCGCCCGCGCGCCGCCGCTGGGCCGGGCCGGGCCCCCTGTGCCGAGCCGCGCCCGGGTTCCTCAGTCTCGCCCCGCCCCCCTCATCCGCTGCCGCCCCGCTGTCCTCCCCTCCCCCCCCCCTGCCGCCGCCTGTCCCGCCCCCCCCCCGACGTGCCTTCGCGAGTGCCCCGCGCCGATTTCGGCGTCGGCTTTGACGCGCATCCCTGCACGCCCTCTGCAAGCTCGGCATGGTCTGAACGTATGCCCCCCTTTCGCGGCCGCCCCCCCCCCCTGCCGTGCCCGTCCGCGCATGTGCACCAATTGCTGGCCCGCACCGCGTTCGAACCCGAGAGCGTTGTGTCCCCCATCGCTGCGACGAAGGAGTACGATCACTGCAGATGTCTCGCCTCCCTCGCCTCAGGCACGAGCCTAAACCGCCAGTGCTCGGGGGGCGGGGGCGGACGCCTGTTTCTGTGCACGCATGCTCCACTGATGAAGTCTTGCGCGCGCATCTGCACAGGAGCTCTGGGATCCCCTTCGGCGGCTCCGCTTCGGTGAGATTGGGGGCGGCGCAGGATAGCAGCGTGCATAGAGCGCAGGGGCGACACCGACCAACCCAAGAGCGCCAGTGCATCCGTTCAACGCCGCATCGCGAGATTTGAAAGATCAGCGAGGTGGAGGAGGGGGAGGAAGGGGAGTGGAGAAAAGAACGGATCGCAAACATGGATCAATGGGGCGTGGATTAGCGACGGGTCCCATCCCATGGGAAATCGCGGACTCCCCGCCGCCGAGCATTTTGGGGAGGGCACCTCCCCCGATCCATGGAGTCGGCGACCGCGCGCCAGCTCCATGGATCGCCAGCCCATGTTTGCGCGCCCCCGAGGGAAGGGAGGAGGATGGCCACGACAGGAGCACACAGTGCGAACACCGTCGGAGGTCCGCGCGGAGTTCTTCCGTCGGTGCCGGGCCCCCTTCCCGGGGCGTGCGCCAAGGGGGCCGCCGCCGGAGGTGCCGCAGGCGACGCCTCGCCCTCCAGCCCTCGGAGGCCCGAGCCGACCTCACAGAACAAACGGCCTGCTCACTGCTCCCGTGCGCCGGAGGAGGCCAGACCGTGAGCGAGGTGGAGGATCCGAAGTCCTTATTGGAGGAGGAGGAGGTATCCATACCGCCACCCTTTTCTTCCCCGTCTTCCCCTTTTTGTTGGCCTCCTGGGAGGCCCTCGTCGCCACCGCTGGACGCGCCTCGAAGTCCTGGTCCGAACGCACCCCAGGAGAGGTCAGAACGCACCCCTTGGAGTAGCGGCATCGGTCGGTACCTTTTGGTTTCCCCAGTCCTTGCCTGCCGCCCAGACGCAACGGCGGGGCGTCCATATCTGCCAATGCCTGGTCGTGCGCAGTGCATGGCCAGTGCGATGTGCGCTGCACGCGGGCCCTGCAGCTGACACGCTGTCGGTCGGCGCTGCTTCTTGACAGGGAGACAGTTATCGGGTGGGGAGGGTGGGATTTGGAGCAATGAAGGTATCGTTATCCGTAGGCGGTCGAAGGTATCGTGCATCATCCTCCCAACCCGTTCCCCCCAACACGGTAACTGCTCTCCTCATCTTGTTCCTGTGGCAGAAACCTTCTTTTCGAAGTTTCAGTTCACCGAACGTATGCCACGCCGCTGTGCGATGGCCATTCGCAGCGTCAGGGATAAACGTCACGACCGAGCGTCTTGGACGAGCAGCCGCAGAACACTGGACAAGCTCAGGAGGGGGGAAACAGGCAAGAGGAGAGAGAGAGGTGGCAGCTGCTTGCGGGGTCGCTTGCCATTTTTCCCCAATCAGTTCTTGAACTGAAGGGGTCCTAGCCGATATTCCCCAATCAGTGCTTGCACTGAAGGGGTCCTAGCGGATACTGGAAGAGAAGGCGAATGTTTCACGCCGATTATGGTGGCAGGCCCTGTTCCCGCGTTCCCGGTTCCGGGTTCCCGCGTTCCCCGTTCCGGGTTCCCGGGTTCCCAGATCCCGGGCCGATTTCGGTGGGCGGCGAGGTTCCCAGGTTCCCGGGTTCGTGGTCGATCTTCTTATCGATCGGTCTCAGCATCGATCTCATTTCCCACCTCTCTATCGATCTCACAATCGATCTCACAATCGATCTCACAATCGATCTCGCAAGCGATCTCACTAGAGATCGCACGAGCGATCTCGCGATCGATCCCCCTATCGATCTCATTGAATCGATTTCACTCTCGGTCTCACGATCGACCTTACTATCGTCAACTATCGATCCGTAAGGGCTTCGCCCCCTGCCGCCGGCCCCCTCCCTCGGAGAATGGGCCATGGATGAGCGAAGTCATGAGGCTTTGGCTTCGCCGTGAAGCAGGGTCGGGACCTGTTTGTTTTTCGACCCTGACCCTACGGATCTGCGTGAGGGGTGCCGCCGAATTTCAGACATCTGGCAAATCCCTTGTGTTTTTGGACCCTGACCCTACGGATCTGCGAGAGGGGTGCCGTCGAATTCCCTACCTGGGCTCTGCCTAGAAGGGTTCTTACTCTCTGTGCTTAAAGGGGCCGGGTAGTGTAAATCGCCCGGGGCGGTTCCCCTGGCATCCGCCCCGCGGTTCCCCCAGTTACGTCCCCTTAGCTTAGCGTTGTTTATCTCATCTTAGCTTAGCTTATTTCATCTTAGCTTAGCTTTGCCTGGCCTAGCTTAGCTTAGCTTAGCTTTGCTTGGCTTAGCTTAGTATATCTTAGCTTATATCATCTTAGCTTAGCTCAGCTTAGCTTGGCTTAGCTTAGCGTAGCTTACCTTAGCCGAGCCTAGCCTAGCTTAGCTGAGCTTAGCATAGCTTAGCTTACCTTAGCTTAACGCAGCGCAGCAAAGCGCAGCGCAGCATTAGCACATCATATCATATCATAGCCACTCATAACATAGCATAGCATAGCATAGCTCAGCATAGCATAGCATAGCATAGCATAGCATAGCTCAGCATAGCATAGCATAGCGCAGCATAGCATAGCATAGCACAGCGTGGTATTGCTTAGCATCGCACAGCGCAGCATAGCATATCATAGCACAGCATCGCGTAGCATATCATACCATAGCATAGCATATCGCAGCATAGCATAGCGTAGCGTAGCATAGCATAGCGTAGCGTAGCATAGCATAGCATAACAAGACAATAGCAAAGGCAAGATCAACAGCAAATGCAATGCAAATCAAACGCAAAACCAGTGCGAACGTGTAGATGTAGATGTAGGTGTAGGTGTAGGTGTAGATGTTGATGAAGGTGTGAGTTTCGCTGTTGATGTTGATGTAGATGTAGATGCAGGTGAAGATGTAAATGTAGCTGTCGGTGTAGATGTAGATGTTGCTTTCCTAAATTCTCCAACTCCTAGGTAGGGTCGCACTGGGATAATTTCAAAAATGTAGCCAATCCTTCATGTTTTTGGACCCTGACCACGCCGATCTTCGTGAGGGATGCCCCCGAATTTTAGAAATATCGCAAATCCTGTGTGTTTTTGGACCCTGACCCCGCCGATCTGCGTGAGGGGTGCCACCGAACTTCAGAAATGTGGCAAATCCTTTGCGTTTTGGACCCGCCGATCTGCGTGAGGGGTGCCATGTGGCAAATCCCGTGTGTTTTTGGATCCTGACCCCGCCGAGATCTGCGTGAGGGGTGTCTGACCAGCAATTCAGAGCATACGATTTGGGCGTGGTAAAAATGACCGTTTTGGGCTTCCCCCCCTCGCGCGGCCCATCAACAAGGAACAGTAAGCAGTGAAAAGTCAACAAGGAACAGTAAGCAACAAGACGAAGAACTGTAACAGTGGAAACTGGAAGCTGCAACTCGCACAGGAAACTGCGAAGCTTAGGCCTACAGCCTGGTGGCCCCACAGGGGGGCCGGCGGATTCCACTATCGATCTCAATATCGATCTCACAATCGATCTCAAGATCCATAGGGCTAATTTGCAAGTCATCCACTGATTGGGTTTTCTCAGGCGTAATTGAAATATTTGGCGAAAGTTTCCCGCCGATTTTGGTAGCCCGCTGGGCTCCCGGGTTCCCGATGCCGCGTTCCTGGGTTCCTGGTTATTGGTTCTGGGCCGATTTCGGTGGGTTCCGGGTTCCCGGGTCCCCAGGTTCCCGGTCGACCTCCTGATCGATCTCTCTTCATCGATCCCATCTCCTGATCGATCTCTTGATCGATTTCTTTCTCTTGGGGCTTTCCTCTGGTGTAATTGAAAACCAGTTCCGACATCCGTGCCCCCCCGCACCAGGCTAGGGAGCCCACAACGGAGGTACGCGCCCAGCCATGTACATGAACACGGCCCCTCGACCCGCGGGACCTGCCACGTGATACGAACGTTCGCGCCATGCGAACCCTCGAAACCAGCGTGGATTCATGTAATGTCCAAAACCGGTTGACAAAAATGGTGACCCCCCCACTCCCCCCCCTGATCCCGACTGCCATCCAGTTTGCCCCTCCTCCCTTCTGTTTGTTTTCTATAGGCGCACTACAGCGCTGGGGAAAATCATTATTTAACTGTCTCCCCGAAATAATTGCTTGAACAGTTTTTAGACATTACTGGAGGATGACGATTTATGGATTACCGGGGGTCGTGTTCACGCGGCGGCGCCCGGGGTGACGATTAGAAAAAACCGGCCGCGGGCTGGAAAACTACTATTTTTTTAATCGTCCTCCTCCAGTCAGAAGCTTGCGCAGAAATAGCAGGAGAACTATTTTTGTTAATCGTTCTCTTCCGTTTTCTTATTAATCGTCATCCCGCATTACATGAACACGGCCCCTCGAACCGCGGGACCTGCCGCGTGACACGAACGTTCGCGCCATGCGAACCCTCGAAACCGGCGAGGATTCATGTAATGTCCAGAACTGGTTAACAAAAATGATGACCCCCCCCTCCCCCCCCCCAGATCCCGACTGCCATCCAGTTTGCCCCGCCTCCCTTTTGTTTTCTATAGGCGCACGACAGCGCTGGGGAAAATCATTCTTTCACTTTCTCCCCGAAAGAATTGTTTCAACAGTTCTTAGACATTACGTGTAATGGAGGAGGACGATGAATAAATGACTGGGGGTCGTGTTCACGCGGCGGCGCCCGGGATGACGATTAGAAGAAACCGGCCGCGGGCTGGAAAACTATGTTTTAAATCATTCTCCTCCAGTCAGAAACTTGTGCAGACATATCAGAAAACTATGTTTTTAAATCGTTCTCTCCCTTTTTTATTACTCGTCATCCCGCATTACGTCCTTCTTTTGCTCCTCCTCCTCCTCCTCCTCCTCCTCCTCCTCCTCCTCCTCCTCCTCCTCCTCCTCCTCCTCCTCCCCCTCCTGCTCCCGACAGGCACGAGCCCGGGCCGCCAGCCGCCCGGGGAGCACATCCTGAGCCAGGAGGCCGCCGCCGCCGCCAAGGGCAGGCCCGGCAGCGGCCAGGACGCGGCCTCCGGTGGGCAGGGGGGGGGGCCGGCCTTTGTGAGGCCTGCCCGTCGGCAGGAGGAGGAGGAGGAGGAGGAGGAGGAGGAGGAGGAGGAGGAGGAGGAGGAGGAGGGGGAGCAGGAGGAGGAGGAGGAGAAGGAGGAGGAGGAGGAGGAGGAGGAGGAGGAGGGGCAGCGGGGTGGGCAGTGGGGCGCGCCCCTCCGATCTCTCGGGGACAGGCTCAGGGGGGGACGCATCGACCCCCATCGGGGGTGGACAGAACCCCCAGCAGTGATACGTCGATTGGTGAGTTGTCCGTGTTCGGTTCTCGAGAGGGCGCCGCGGCCGTTCTGTTCCAGGCCTGCGCCCGCCAGGTTTGGGCCTCAGGTCGTTTTCACGAAGCCACGCTTTACTAAAGGGAGGTCTGTCCAGCCCCGACCCCCAACGATCGCCCACGGACTGCCACTGGGGGCCTGGTAGCCCACGTCGCACAGGAGCGTGCGGTGTCGCGAAGTATCGGTGGCCCGTGGCCGATCCATCGGCGATGCCGCGCCGATCCCAGGTCTTGGCATCGCTCGGACGTGTGCATTATTCCTTCGGCGAGGACCATCGAGGAGCATCCTGGATCATTAGGCGGAAATGACCACGCACGACACCGAAAACAAAAACACAGGGAATGGACGTCCGAGCGATGGCGAGAGGTCGGTGCTGTCACCCCGCCCCCCCGGGCCAGTCCCCCCCCCCCCTATATCGTTGCTCCTCGCCTCTGCGGCTTGACACCTGCCCTTCAAGACAGGGCATCGCACGAAAAATTCGTGACGGTTGTCGAGGCCGTCCCTGCCCCCTGGCTTGTCGAACATCGATGCAGGATGAAAGTCTTGCTCCGCAGGGTTGAGATGCCCTGGTGCCCACGACGCGACGTCTACGCCTCTCTCCACCGAGGGGCCCTGGAGGAAGCGGGTCCCTGTTTGGGCCCCTGGACCGCCGAACATCGACTCGCGAGACGGGAAATTGGTACCGCAGAAAGCCCCCAGGTTCAGTGCTCATCAGAAGGAGCGTCGGAGAAAGGGCCTCGCCTTGGCTCGTGCCGCTCGAGTGACCAGCTTGTTCGACGGAGTTCGGCAGATCACGGCAGTATCCGCGCACCGCGCCTCCCTGGAAGTTGTGCCCCCCCTCTGAGGGTAGTCCATGTTCTGTTCCCGTTTGTTTTGGGTCACCCCGCTAAGGTGATCCGAAAAATGACCCCATTGATGTTGTGTTCACTTCTTTGGGCGGGGGTGGACGTTATGCAGGGTGTGCAGTCCTTTCGGGGGTCTTGGTCGGTCATCGGGGCCTTGGTCGGGTATCTGGGTCTTTGATACTTGTTGTTCGCACATGCCAGTTCAAGCCATACACGTTTGCACGCAGAGCATACTTGAATGTGCCCAGACTTTCAATCAATTGTCTTCAATCAGATGGCTAGTTCACGCCGGAGTTCCAAGTAAGTTTGCGTTGTGTATTTGCTTCTGGTGTTCAGTGGCGGGTCATCTCGTCTGTGTCTTGTGATGTGAAGTCGGGTTGGTCGCTCTTTCAGGAGCATTACGCCCTCAAGCGTGCACTGAACTCCCATCGATTGATGCGTTATGTAAGCGTTTCTACTTTAGCTGTTTCCATTTCCAGGCGACTTGTGCATGGCACACACACAGTACAACGCAACACCCTCGCACCGTTGGTACAAACGGTCGCTTCTAGGCTACAGTGCCACTATGGTCTGGCAATAGTTCTCGCAATTGTAGTGCTACGCGGTGGTAGACAAATGCGCAGGTGCATTGCTTATGGATGTGGCTACTCCACTCGCGAATACTTTTTCCCTGCGCACTCCGCCTGGCGCTATCTTCAGTGCAGCTCCCAGTTCAAGCATTGATTAATCTATCTTGGACCCACGCGTGCGCGCGCGGCTGTTCCGCATGAGCGCTGGCCTCAACCGAGAAAGATTTCAAGCCAGGGCAGGGCCACGGCAAACCTGGACAAGGCAGGGTACAGAGCAGCGTGCAGGTCTAAGAGACGCGGACGAGACAAATGCCCCAACGAGTGGGCCAACGCCTCTCACTGGCAATTGTCCCACGATGGCTGGTTTTCCCGGGTAACCCTCGAGAGGCGACGCTGACATCGCGCCTGATCTTGACTGCGTGGATCAAGGTAAGCTAAACAAAGGCTCGAATACCAAGTGTGTTTGTCTGGTTTCTGTTGCTAGACTGGGAAATGTTGTTCCTGGTGTCCTTGCATGATGTGCTGTTGCAGTTCGATCATGCGGCCGCGTCGTCGGTTCTTGCATTGAGCTTGCGGATGGGCGGCCCTTTGGTCGAGGCAGGCCTGCCTTGTCATGTTGCCATGCTCTACAAGTGCTGGTTGGCGCAAGCACCCCCCTGCGCAGGACAGCTCTGTTGTGCGGCGCGCGCAAGCTCGCTTCGCTACCGGGGTACTTTTGTTTCGACAGGGTCCCTCGCATCGGATGCATGTGCTTCACTAGAGGCGCTCCAGGGGCGATGGAGTCGTCCGAACCAGCATTCAGATGGAAAGGGTTGCCGCCCGTGAGATGCGGCGGCGGGTGTCCCGACCTCTGGCGTTACGACGCGTTCTGTTTCGATGCCCCGGCGGCTTCCAGAGCTCCGTTTCCCGCACAAAGCGCAGCCGCAGATCAACCCAGCGCAGGAAAAGACGGCCGAGAGCTCCTGGCGCTTGACGTTGCCTCTCGGGTCCACGCGGTTTCAGAAACCAACTCCGGGGTCGTCACTGCACGAATTTGCAGTAGGAGGAGTAGGAGGAGGAGTAGGAGTAGGAGGAGGAGGAGGAGGAGGAGGAGGAGGAGGAGGAGGAGGAGGGAGCAGGAGGGAGGAGGAGGCGGCGACGCTGGCGACGCCGGCGACGCCGGCGAAAGAGGCCGACGGGACGGCAGGTGGCCCTGCGCGCGACGTCACGCCAGCGAAGCCGCGCCTGGACGTACCGTTCTGCCTGCAGAGAGTGAAGCCCGTGTGGCTGCCGATCAAGGCGGGGGTTGGACGGGAGCATGGCAGGCTCCTCCTCCTCCTCCTCCTCCTTCCTCCTCCTCATCCACCTCCTCCTCCTCCTCCACCTCCTCCTCCTCCCCCTCCTCCTCCCCCTCCTCCTACTCCTCCTCCTCCTCCTCCGTCTTTCCTCCTCCTTCTCCATCTCCTCCTCCTCCTCCTCCTCCTCCACAATTCCTTTCCTTATACATGACCTCTCCCTATCGCACCCCGAGGCTAGTGTTTAGGGTGGTCCTCCTCAGGAGGAGGAGGAGGAGGAGGAGGAGGAGGAGGAGGAGGAGGAGGAGGAGGGGAATCGCGGCATGGCAGGGGGGGGAGCTTGGGAAATGGGTTTTGGGAGCGGGGCTGCGCTGACAGCCGCTGAGGTGGGAGGGAAGGGAGCGGAGGGAACAGATGGAGTCTGCGGAGGCCTGAGAGCATAGAGACCCCCACAATGGAGGGGTCCATGACTGAAATATTGCACATGGCGCTCATACATCCGATGTTGTGCCGTCCGTTGTTGAAGCCGTGGGCCTCGACAGAGGTCCCGACCCCTCCCTTGGGGCACAATTTCCGTCTGGGACCCATTTTTGTTCGGTTACCCCAGGGTCCGAAAACGGCGTCTGGAGGCCGAACCGTCAACACAATGATGCAGGAATTGAGAAGTCCATGAGGGGGGGATTCTGGGAACACGCATGGGGATGGCGAGAGCTCTTCAGCGCGCTGGGGCCGCAGGGATTACGCACGCTCGAGCGAGGAATTCCGTTCGGCCTCCCCCGCTTTCGGAGATCTTTCGACGCGTCTTGCACAGAGGTATCATGCTGCCCGTTCTTATGATAGTCTTGCGGCTCACATGCAGCTCGAGAAGGCGATTGCGCATTTGCCAGCGCGGGCGCGAAGATCAGTCGGATCTCAGTCTACGCTTGTTGGTCTGTCTGTCAGCGGGGGCTTCAGTTTGCCTGCCTTCGCTAACACGCGTTCGTCCTGATGGTGTTCGTCGGCTGGAATTGCTTCCCGCACGTGTTTGGCACGCGACTCTGCGCCGAGCCTGACGCCAGCAGCGGCACCATGGGGTCCTCGTCGCTCCTCCTCGCTCCCGGGCTTGTCCCCCAGGCCAGGCGCAGCGGCCGCTCGCTACGGCTGGGATGGGCAACAGGCCTGTGAAGCAGTACGCGAAGGGCAGAGAAGCAGAGGGGCCCCAGGCGAGGAGGTATAGAGTGCCATAGGAGAGCAGTTCTGAGCTCGCTGAATGCACACGTTCGGGCTGTGGTGTGAACCCGAACTTTTTGTTTACTCCCATGTTTCCATGCTTTTGTCCCTCCTCTCGGCTTCTCCTGTCTCTCCTGCGATGCGCAGCCAGTTTCCTCTCCTGCCCCCCCCCCCCCCCTCTCCCGCCCTCTGTAGCCCCTGGCCCCCCCCCCCTTCTCTTCCATCTCCCCCACCCCTCCTTCAGGCAGGCCCAGGATGAGGATACACCGTTCCACAGCCCTCCAGAGCGCTCTGACCGCGTTCGGGAGCGCTTGAGAACGAACGCGGTCCCCGAAGCATCCATCTCGTAAACCTGCCCGCTCTCGGAGATTCCCCGACTCTATTTGATAGTCATCTTGCCTGCTCAGGGCCGCGCAACCGGAGACGTTGGTGTACCAGGACATGACCTGCCCGCTCTCAGAGATTTCCCGATTCAGTTCAATCCTCATCCTGCCTGCTCATGGCCGCGCGACTAGAGACTCTGATGTACCAGGACATCGGCGTGCCCGAGACGGCTGCAGCTTTGGGTCGACGCATCCTCCATGTTTCATGCTCCCTCCACGTGGAGTTTTGCATGTCCATGTTCGCAGCGCCCTGGTTGGTAGGGGGCCCAGGCCTCCGCCTCACCCCCATCCCTCCTTCCCTTGCCCTCCCTTGCCCTCCCTTGCCCTCCCTTGCCCTCCCTTGCCCTCCCTTGCCCTCCCTTCGCCTCCTTCCCCTGCCCTCCCTGGCCCTCCCCGTCGCCGAAGATGGCCGGGGGCCGCCCGTGCCCCCCCCCCACTCCCTCCCGAGAGCGCCAGGCGCACCGGTTCGCCGCGTACCGCGCCAAGGTGCTGCAGCTCCTGCCGCAGAAGGTCGGGCATTCAGGAGGGAGAAGCTCCGAGGAGGGAGGAGGAGGAGGAGGAGGAGGAGGAGGAGGAGGAGGAGGAG